CCATCCTCTGAAAGCAACGCCGAAAGAACTCCCTTATTGATATCGATAGCTGCACTAGTACAATTCTTTTATCCTGCAATGGTGAGTAATAGAGTGAGCTTCGGAAAGCTCAGTATTACAGAACTACCAGATGATGCTACATGACATGCAGATAAATGGAAAGCCATATAATTTCCTTATTGAATCAGACGTATACCTGTTGCGGAATAATCTAGGGTTCCATCAGTAGTTCATCAAGTTGAAGCCATGAAGATCACAATTCATACGAAGCATTCAAAGTATGACAAAAGGGGAGCCAACCTAAGGATATACCTTGGGGCCTACTCAAGGATATCCCTAGATCCGTAGGGTTACCTTAAGAACACAGCAAAAGAAACCAATCTAAGGATATACCTTGGGTCTACCCAAGGATATCCTTAGATCCGTAGGGTTACCTTAAGCACACAACAAAGGAAACCAACCTAAGGATATGCCTTGGGCCTACCCAAGATATCCTTACGTCCTTAAGGACTTACAACCGGATCAGGGTTGTGCCTCCATACTCCAGATTCCTATCCATATAAAAATCCAGTATAAATTAGTTCTATCCGTAAATCGTAATACCTGGATCGTGATCCAGTAATATGTCATATTCATGATCATGAAATAAATCGTATATCAAATTTTCACCTGTACACCATAAGTTGTCAAATGATTAACCCAAGGGAGTACCTTAGGTCCATGAGAAATTTCCAGCTTGATCAGAGCTGTGCCTCCAGTCTACCCATATAATATCCCAGTAAAACAGTTTGAATATAACCAGTGAAACATAAAACCATAATTCATAAATCAGTAGTTTCCATGATTCCATAAATCAGAAACAATTTATATTTTCGATAAAACCATAATCATAAATCACTTACCATGTTGCCATGGTTCATAAACCAGTAAATCAATACTTGCATTAAAACTCATTTCAAAACATATAAAACCATTATGTAGTGCATATGGAACACACTAGAGAATCCAAGTATTCTTTTCCAGAGGTATTTTTGTAGTTATCGGTATGGATAACATGAAACTTGTGCAATTTGATCGGATTCCAAGAACAAGGTCCTATTGAAGAGAATTAATTACTAACCGACCTAATCGAATATTTAAGGTTGATACTTTAGAATCCCACTATGATTTCATGTGCATCTAGAAGGCGTTCAGGAATATCCGGAGTGATTGGAGCTAATCAAGGAGAAACGAATATTCAATACATTTACAATCCATGTTGATCGATCGGTTTATCGAACAATTCAAACTGAACCACTCTCAAAACTAATGCATGTCGACCTGTCAATTTACCGCCTTTCCAGATAATCATCTTCATAATCACTCTCAAAACGAATATTCAAGTACTAAAAATTATTGTTCATAATCATCTTCATAATCATCGTTGAATAGATCTTCCAACGATCTTTATTTCATTTTCATGTTTCAATGATATCAAGAAATATGGATGTACTTGATTCACGGTTCATGACCCATAAGGACAATTCATCATATAAGTTCAACAATGCTTCCAGACTCATCCAAATCACTTATTTAATCCTCAGTCATTGAGGTAATTCAGTTCATTCAGCAATCAATTCTATCCCAGTTACTTTAGAGTTTTCCAGAGTAATTCAGACGTTTCTGAATTTCAAATACATATGGTATTTCCGTTAAATTCAATTTGGTCATATAATAAAGTCATTCTGGTATTCGTGGTTGATTTGTCTCTTGAATATCATTTCTTAGTACCGAATGCGCTGTAGAGTTGAGCTGAGCTAAGTACTTACAGAATTATCATCGATCCAAACTTGAGAAGACGAACACACATTCAATTGATATATATGCCATTCAAGTACTGACATAGCAGTAACATTGGTTAGCTCACTTAAGTTGAGTTCCATAACTTGTAAGAGTAGTACAACACCCATGCTTATTTGGATCCTTAATTAACCAAAGATATTTACTCAATCTAATACATAAGGGTATTTTGGTTATTTTGGCGCTCAATGTTTTTCCATTCATTTCAAAGCTTGAGGATAACCATTCATTCTTGGCTTGGTGATATTATTGGGTCATTTCCATCCTAGGGGTATTTTAGTCATTTTACAGATTTAAGGTATTTAAATCATTTCCTTCCATATGATCTTATTATCTAACTTAAACGTATAATCTTTTCCAAACCTTTCGAACAATTCTGACAAAAGAGCACCCTCAATAAATTATTCTCTAGATATTTACTCATAACTCGGAGATTTACGAATTATCAGGAATTTTCTGTATAAACGCATAACTTAACAGTAATTCAACGGTTTAAGCATGACTTCTTGAGTATTTTTCCATTCGGGGTCAATTCAGCTACTTTTCTCTCTCAAGGGTAATTTCGTAATTTCTTATCCAACTTCTAGGGTCAATTACTGTCTTTTTACAACATAAGGGTATTTTTGTAATTTTACCAAACCGGAGTATCCTCATAATTTCTCTCGTTTGTACCTTTAATCATTTAACCTTTGATGATATAAATTATAAGTTGCAGATCCAGGCTGATTCATTTATCACTAAACACAGAGCTTGTAATTTAATTCCAACAATCCCTCAATATCTTATAAAAGTCACTTGAACCATAATCAGTTACCATATTCGGATCGAGTGCAGAAATTAATTAACTACACAAATGATACCAACATTATCTTATTCATGCATTTACCAATATCAACATGCTCCATAAAGCATAAAGAGGTAGTAAAGTATTACCTCGATTTCCGTGTCATACTGATCGACCATAAAAATTACATTCGAGCACCCTCGATCTTTAATTTAACTTTCAATAATTCCTCAAATACATAACAATAAACATTTCATCAAAAATGGGGCTTAATTCCGAAAAACAGATCGAATTGAGTGATTAATCAGTGAAAACCAACTTACCAGGTTCGAATTTGGTGAAACAGACCCCAAAAACGGATTCAGAACGTCGAAAAACGTCATAATAGGTATACCCGATCAAAGTCAAAGGTCGTTCAACGCCCGGTTAACAGTGGTCAATGTCGGTCAACGGTCAATGCAAGTCAACATTCAACCATTTTACACAACTATCACTCTAATAGGAATTAATTACAAATTTAGCCACCTTCTTAAATATATTTACAAAACTAACACCTGAATTTTTACACAAATAGCACCCAAAAGAAATTAATTACAAAATTAACACCCTGCGGCCAGACGATGCCCACTCTCGAGGAGTGGCGCGTGGGGCGAGTGAACAGTGATAAGATGTCGAAAAATTTCCTGAAAAATTCCTAAAAATTATTTCAAGCGATTTTGAGGCACTTACAAAGCTCGGTTCACAATTTTGAACGGTGGAGAGCTCGATTTCAACAAATCCGAAACTTTGACCGCTTCACTCCTCACGCGCCGCTGCTTACGGAGACAAGGAGGACACCGGCAGACTCGGAACTGCACAAGGAACACGATGGTGCGGAAGGTGTCAAATACAAAGGTCGGATCATCGTGAATCGACGAAAAACCAACGAGAATCGAGTTAAAACTGACGATACTTCCGACTGAAATTAACGACGAACGGCGTCGATTCACAACGAGATGTTTGAGGGGTTTTGTTCATCGGTCGACAACGAACACGATGGTGGTTTCGGTTTGTCAATCAGAGGTCGGACGACGAGTAGATCGGAGTTGAAAGGAGGGTTGATGGAAGAGGAAAACTTAAAAAATTTCTGCTGAACCTGCACACGGGAGATAATTCATCATATAAAAAAATGGTTAAATCATGAGTTTAGTCACTGAACTTCCAGTACTTCTTAAAATGATCTACCAACTTTGAAATTTTACAATTTAATCCATCATTTCTTTCAAAATACCAATTAAATTCAATACTTTATAATTTCTAAAATTTAGCCCCTAAATTGGAGTGTTACAGGGTTTGTTGATTAATCCTCTTCTGGACTGCTACAAGTTTCGTCTTCCATTTTAGATTTCATTTTTTCTTTAGTAAATTTTACTTTTTTAGAGTTCTCATCAACATACTGCAAATGTGATACTGGAAGTATGATTGCTGGTTTTTCCGGTAGTTTACATGAGATTTGCAATTAATAAAAATCAAACAAAAATTCAACAGCCGAAGGAAACTATTTCTGCATGGAAACTAATTCAAGTGAGCACCTTTGATGTGCTAAGGTAATATTTCTTTAATATATAATAACTAATATTTCTTATTCATTTGGTCTCTCTTTCTTATAAAATGTATGAATGGTCACTATAGGGTTGAAATTGACTATCAGAATGAATGAGTGGTCATTACGGGGTTGAAATGTTGGATAAAGCGGTTGGACAATTTATAATGCATGGTATTAATACTAGGTTGGTAGATGTTAATGTTCAATACGGATAAATGATTAAATTTATTTAATTATTTTTAGTCAAGGTTAAATAAGTATGATGAATAAATTTTGAGAATTAAATATATTATTTTTAGATAAATATGATTTTTATTTATTTAGAAAAATAGTAGAATATATCAAAATAATCATATCAAAATAACGTTATTTTGATATGATATTGCAGTCATTGGCCACATCACTGTACCATTAATAATTTAACAAAGAAATAATATAATTAAAATGAAAATAAAAATTTAATATTATAATTGATAAATTTAAAAATTTAATAGTATAAAAAATACTTTATCTAAAGTTTGATTGCATTTAAATTAATTTTATGATTGATGGGGCCATATCATGTTCTCTCTGCAAGCCTTTTTGTCATTCTCCACCGCAAACCAAGATCCAATCATGGATGATGGATTGACATTGGGCTAATCAACCGACTCATCAAAAAGGTAAGACCGATTCCACTAATTTCATCCAACGGTCCAGATCAACGAGAATACGGCCACCATTGATCCCAGACGTGATGGAAACAACCTCTTTTGCTCGCATTAACTCTGCGAAAACAATGTCTTTCTCCACTCTTCGATCATTCGGAACGACAAACGGTTCCAATTCCACATAATAAAAAAATCTATTTTTTCTCTGAAGAGAAAATGTGTTACGGTCACCAACGGCGATCTCTCTCCCCGAACCGTCCGTCCCGCAACAACAATGGACTGGTGGTGGATACGCTTCGTGAACGGCTAGCCGAGACGGAGGCTCGGCTCGAGCGAGCCAGGGCTCGAGAGGCCGAACTCACTCGCAGGCTCGAAGAAATGAAGCGTTTCGTTTCCGTCATGGAAATCCTCGAGTCTTACCTCAAACAACGGTTTCACGAGCAACAAGAATACGTGGAGCGCATCTTCTCTTCGCTTCCTGCTAAATAAAACAAGAGATTTCCCCTCGTCGAATTTTACAAAATATCTTTTTGTTAATAATTCCTTTTACAATGCTTTGTCTTTGTTGTTTTTTTGTGTATGTATGTGTTATCTTGTTTAATAGATGGAAGGAATTACATTACTGCTGATTTGAAAATGTGAAAGGCTTGTTTCTTGCACTTAGGGTTTGAAGTGCTCTAAATTTGTTGGGATTTTATGGAAAATTAGTGAATTTTTTACTTTTTGTATTAAATTGTTTGATTCGATGTTAATTATCAGTTGAATGAGTTGTTCAAATTGGTGCTCCTTCATTGTGAGTAATCCTTTTCGATCTCAGTTTGTTGCTTAATTGATACTGATTTGAGAAGCCTCATATAAGGCGGAAGTTTCTTGCATTACAGGGCTAACTCGTATTCTTTGATTGAATATTTAAGTTGTGGTCTTTTAAGCATTAGCTAAGTGAGAAGAAAAAGGAGAAAGACAACGTGGATAGCGCGGTTAGGTGTTTGTTGCATTTCAATTTCTGGTTGTATTGACTTGAACGGATTCGTTGAAGGCATAAGAGGTACAAGGCCAAGATCTCAGCATAATACTCTTTGTAGTTTCTTAGGTGAGTGTGTTCAAGAAGTTGGTGTTTTGTCTTTGTGATTAGTCCTTTTAATCTCATTTTATTTGTTAATTTATATTGATTTGAGAAGCCTCGTTTTAAGTGGAAGTTTCTGGCATTAGCAGGCTAAATCATAATCTTCGACTATGTGTTTAAGTTGTGAGCATTCAACTGGAAAGTGTGCTGATGTGTTTGTTGCATTCTAGTTTGGGTTTGTATCGAATTGAACGGAGCCATTGAAGGCATAACACATAATAGTAACATGTGTAAAAGATCTCAGTATATTTGCAGTGTTTATTGCATTTTGGTTTCAGGTTGTATTAAGTTGAACAGGAATCATTGAAGGCATAAGAGTTTACCTGGAAAAAGATTATTTGCAGTATTTGTTTATTTTGTGAGCATTCAGGTGGCAAGTGTGCCGAGGTGTTTGTTGCATTCTAGTTTCAGGTTGTATTGAGTTGAACAGAGTCATGTAAGGCATAGCACATAATAGTAACATGTGTAAAAGATATCGGTATATTTGCAGTGTTTATTGCATTTTGGTTTCAGGTTGTATTAAGTTGACGGTGGTCATTGAAGGCACAAGAGTTTACCTGGAAAAAGATCACAGTATATTTGCAGTATTTGTTGCATTTCAGTTTCAGGTTTTATTGAGTTGAATGGGAGTCATTGAAGTTGCATGGTGAAGATTTCTGTATAATTGCAAGTGGGCAACCTTTTTAAGCCGAATGAATCAGGCAAGTAGTGTGTATGTGTTTTTTCTTAAAGGATTATCTTGTTTTACTGAAAATTGAACAGCTAATCATTAGTTGATGGAATGTGACTGAAACAATTCATATGAGATGGTGTTCTTCTCAGAGACAAAGAAAGAAAAGGGAAAGAGGGTGGGCAAGTTGCTTGTTGGAATTGGAAGCTTTGAATGCTAGGCTTGTGATTCATACGTAGATATTTAGTTATATCCAATCGGTCTTATAACATGCTGACATAACCCCTTACACGTATCATACCATTCACTCCATTCACTGTATTATTGGAAACCATCTTCCTTTAAAAGCAATTCATGTTTGTCTCCTCTTTTTAACACTTGTGATAGTTGAGCTTTTTTAAGATTCAAAGCTTATCAGTAATCTCCTTTTCTACCATGTGCAGCCAAAATATAAAGTTGTCCCTCTTCCTTTTACTTGTTGGAATTGGCGTTGCTTCCATAACTGATCTGCAACTCAATCTTATCGGGACAATCCTCTCTCCCTGCTATTGCGACCACCTGACTCGGCCAAATTGTATCATTTGATTATCATGGAACATTACACTTCAGAGCCATATTCCAAAGTTTATTCTTAACTTGATGAATATAGCCGACAAACACAATACAGAAGAGGCTGAATGTCTCTTCAACCCAGCTGCTGTACCAGTCAGCCCCATTTCAAGCAACGATTCTTTTTGTCTGGACCCTTTGGTGGATCAATTAGTCACCAAGCAAAATGTGTTTGCATATAAATATATTCTCATATAGTCTTGGTATTGAACCAAAACCTCTTTCTTTTTTCTCTCATCAGCTTATCACTCGGATGATAATTTTTCTCTACATTTTACAGGCATTTATCATCCTCTCGTGCATTATTTCAGTACATAGTTGGTTATTGGCAAAACATCCCCGGTCAACTATTAAGTTCTTGGTCACCTCAAGACTTGCCTGGTTCACTAATTTGTGGATGGAGTATCTAACTTTACCAATATGTGTTCTTTATGGTGAGCTTTGGCAGTTATATGTGAAGGAAAAAGTACCTAAAGTGCTGACTGCATATGGGAGTTGTCGCGACTGTCTTTCGGTTGGGCCCGGAATTGGGCTTCGACTTGAATTGATTGGGTTAGAGTCGTCATCGATCACTTTAAAATAATGTTTAGGTAGATCGGACACTATCTTATATGATCTGCGTTTTACCATAAATGTGTCGGGTTCGGGAGTCGATTACGGTCAAGGAAGGATTAGCACTTTTAAACCGCTCTTTCGGTATCAATTAATTTGTCGGTTGTCTTTAATTACAAAAATTAAAAATTTAAATTGAAATTTAAAAATTCGATTCAAATTACTTACCTCTGATTGGTTAAAATTTCTCTAAAAAAAAGGTCAAACATGTTAATCAAGAAAATAAATAAATGTTAAATAAATCAAAGAAAAACATAAAAATAAAAATAATAAAATTAAAAGAAGAATCAAAAAATAGAATAAAAATAAATAAATAAATAAATAAATGAGATAAAACAAAAAAAAGTAATAATAATAATAAATATTAAATAAATCAAAAGTTAAAATAAGTTAAATTTAAAAATTACTAAAATAAAACAATATGAAAAAAAGAAATAATAATAATTTTAAAAAAATAATTTTTTAATGGTACTGAAATATGAAAAACAAATATTTAAATAACTAAAATAATAAAATCATGAATTTAAGGGTCTAAACAAGTATTACCATTTTTTTGAAATTGAAACTGAATTAAATTAAATGAAAATCAGGAAACTTTCAACTTATGATCATGCAGTGACCAAATTGAAATAAATAAAAACATAACTCTATATCTACAAAGGATAAACTCTTTAATGACTCACGTCCTGATTAACCCAAAAATTCTATGAAACCTAAAAAATCCTTAGGTGACGTTTGGTTCACTGGAATGTTTATGAGAGAATTGGAATCTGTGAAGGAATTAGAATCTGTAGGAATTGGAATCTAATTCCATATTCTGTTTGGTTGGCAAGAAATGTAATTGGAATCCAATTCCATATTTTGTTTGGTTCGCAGACATGTCAGATGAATTTGATTTCAGTAATATAAAATGACAAAATTGCCCTTCTTGTTTTTTGCTTTATTTTAGTTTATTTTACAACTTACATGTAGTAATATATTATAAAAAATTAAAAAATATTAAATTTTCATTTTATTGATTGATTATTTATTTAAATAAATTATAAAAATCATGCTAATAAACATTATAAGTTAAAATCATCGCAATCAAAATATGTTAATAAGTTACCAAAAGATAGAGCAATATTTCGATACATTCCAATCGGTGTATGTTAATTAGTTACAAAAAAAATATACCAAAAACTATTTTTATTCAATATATGAATTAGAAACTCGACCCGACACGATTTAAAATAATAAAAAAATTATTTTTATTCTATAAAAACATTGACTTAATTAAAAAAATTATATATAGAGGGGTATTATTGTAATTATTCCTAAATATATAAGGTAAAATTATATATTTTTTCGGGTCGGTCCCATTTTTTTCACCCTAAACCCAAACCCGACCCGACCTGACCCGAATATCACACTTAAAAAAACCCGACCCGACTCGACCCGAATATCACACTTAAAAAACCGGACCCGACCCGAAGAAAATAAAGTTTCATCCGACCCGACCCGAATATATGAATTAGAAATCCGACCCGATCCGAAATAATAAAAAATTATTTTTATTTAATAAAAACAGTGACTTAATCCGACCCGACCCGAATATCACACTTAAAAAAAACCCGACCCGAACATCACACTTAAAAAACCCGACCCGACCTGACCCGACCCGAATATATGAATTAGAAATCCAACCCGACCCGACTCAAAATAATAAAAAATTATTTTTATTTAATAAAAACAGTGACTTAATCCGACCCGACCTGAATTATATATATTTTCGGGTCGGTCCGGTTTTTTCCACCCTAAACTCGAACCCGACCCGACCCGAATATATGAATTAGAAACTCGACCCGAAATAATAAAAAAATATTTTTATTCAATATATGAATAAGTTACCAAATGATTGATGAGGGTAATATGGTCAAATTTCAATTCCCTCCAACAAGGGAATTGAATTCCATCCATTTTTGGATGGAATTCACTTTCCCTCATTTGATGGAATTGAATTCCATCAGGGATTCCAATTCCCTTGAAAAACTTGAACCAAACATGAGAAAGTGGTGGAATTGGATTCCAATTCCCACCAATTCCAAGGGATTTCATCCAACCAAACGCCACCTTATTTTCACGCGTGAATTCAGAATTCATTTGGCTCTTTTTTTCCTTTTCAGCTGCCGCATTACTTTCTCCTCTGTCTAATATTCAAAATAACTAAATTCAAATGGGAGGACTCACCTTTGATCGATACTTCGGTGAAATCCAAAGAATTTCCAGCAATCGAGGGCAGAAACAATTGTGTACAAGTAAGAAAACTTTCCTATTCTTCGTATATCCTATTCCGATTCTAACACATACAAAGCACTTCTAGCTTCTGATGATTTTTGCTGATGATTAACGATTTGTGGATCCCCTCTCCCTCACCCTTGCATGTGTATTTATAGTTCTAGGAACCTATTTTTAGTCCCATTTTTCTAGTGTTTCACTTGGACTGAAAAGGCTTGGTTTGTTTCTTGGTGGTTGTGGGCTTGCGTCGGAGGATTCAAGGTTGGTTGCTACTGGCGTGAGGATCGGAGGTGGGTTGTTGCAGCGCGGTTCTTGTGAGAAAAGATGAAAGCTAGGGTTGATGATGTCGGCCATTGGGACTTGTTTGCATTGGGTTACAAGTGTTGTATTGTCATGCAAAACAAAAAATGCATCATGTAGTAAATAATATTATATATATGTGTATAATAATATATATTATACTCATATAAATACAATGTATTTAATGTACATAACGTAAGTGACATTATAAATGTGTATACACCGTAAGCGTATCATATACTACGAATATGCCACATAACATTATGTAACGCCAGACGAAAATATATGGCTACAGCTGCCCCTCTTTGTCTTTTTTCATGGAACGAAAAATATGACAAAGATAAAAAGGACACAAATTTTCGTTTGGTGGAGTTAAAAATTGATTTTAATTATGAATAACTCCCTGTCGAGTTATGTTGTGGATGACTCCCCCGTCGCGAAGTCAAATCCACCTTGAAATGATATAAGATTGAAGTCGTAGTTTGGAATCGGAATGTAGCTTCTCGTTCCCTTTTGATTTTCTTCCTGGTTTAAAGACTCTGATTCAAAATTCGACTGAATAGTAGTTCCTTAACTCCACCATGTGGTTAATAAGCCCTAGAGCTGAATGAAATATAACTTGAAAGGTCTTCATTGATAGATAGCTTTTCTCGACTTAAGTTATGCTGCCGGAAAACAATTTCTTGTCACTAAGACACAACTAACCTAGGTCTTCTTCTCGACTTGAAAACCTCGACTGCAACCAGACAGTAGTGTGATTGATGTGTCATCAAGCTGAATGGAATCAAACTCGACAATTTTGTTGACAGATAGCTCTTCTTGCCTTGAGCTATGCTGTAAATTTGATATGCCTTTGAGCTGAGCGCAGTTGAACTTGAAGGTTTTTTGTTGGCAGATAACCTTTCTACCCTTGAGTTATACTGCAAATGATGTGCCCTCGAAGCTGAGTGTAATCGAACTCGAAGGTCTTTGTGTTTCAAGAGAAACATTTTCAAAGGTTTTTTTTTGTGTTTCAAGAGAAACAATTTCAAAGGTTTTTTGTGTTTCAAGAGAAACAATTTCAAAGGTTTTTTTGTGTTTCGAGAGAAACTGTCTCCAGGGAGGTAAAATTTTGTTTCAAGAGAAACATATTCAAAGATTGGTGTTTCAAGAGAAACTGTCTCAAGAGAGACAAAACTTTGTTT